GAACCAAAACTAACTTGGTCTGAATTAAGATTTCACCCTGGATATAGCACTTGCTTTTTACGCTTTGGTCTAGCTGGACTCCTATCTGTCTGTTCCTTCTTTCTTACTGCAAATTTATCTAAAAGGTATACTGTTTCGAACAGGCACAATTAATACGCCATGATTGTGGCCGCAACATGTTTGCTGAAATGAAACATGGTGTGATCATTACTTCCGAGTTTGTTTTTATCACATATATATATAAAGATTATGGTATAACTTACGACTTTTAGGAAAATTACTGATACATTCTTACTCTTCTCACAGATACATTTCCTTTTTACTTCGCCTATTGGTTCCATTAAGAATATGAATTTTAATCCTTCCAGTTTTGCAAAACTGTTTTGCTCCTGAAGAAGACGAATCTTTTTCTGGTCGAGAATACCTTTACATTTTGCGCTTTGCACCACTGAGAGAACTTCCGACCTAAGATGATATCTAACGGAAAAAGCCCATCTAGTGGAAATTATTTATTGAGAAGATCCTTTTAACAGAGAGTTTTTACAATGAATATTTTTACATGACAGTGAAACTTATTTATAGGCTTTTTTGCATTTATATGCTCCATTGAGCTACTTTTGATACATATTTAAATATGATTTTAATTAATTTCTATAGTTCAAGTTTCCGTGAAAGCTCTAGAGTTGAATAAAGGTCAACAGATCAAAAGTTCTTAAGATATAAAGTTTTGAAGCTCTAAGTTCTTTTAATCGAAGATTTAGTACATGAAGTGTAATATCTCAGATGATCGTAATTTGAGAGGGTCTTGGTTGATTTATATAAAATAAATCAATTCTAGTTTCAATTTGGATCTTAGTCCGAATATTATAGTCTTTTTTATAAATGACTGTGGAATTTAGTTAATTTTGATATGAACGAAATAAATAATAATAAGTGTATAACGGACTGTAAGATAAGTGCAATATTAGAAACCAAAATGATTCTTAATGATTTTAAGAATATGAATATAATTGTTGAAAATAACTGTTGAAATTATTTGTTGCGATTGATAGAGTATTCTATTGTTTTTGAAAGTTTATTATATTGTTTCGAATTTTGCATTTAATTAGATATCTTTAGTAGAAGTATAATTAAAATTGTTTTATTTCTCCTTGCAAGGCAGCGCGTGACAAATTTCAAGAGAAAGTTAGGCCGGAAAAGTAAAAGTACAAGAGCACGTGAATTTAACATTGAATAAAAGTTTATCTCGGTAATTTATATTTAATTTGAATAAATGTGATTGACTTCTTTGTTAGCTGTAACCGTAATTCTACTCTTTTTGCTTTCCAGAATTGCTAGAACTATTTCTCGCGGTCGATTTAAAAAGCTATAAAAAGCCAGAGAGAAAACATCTCAGCTCTGTTGTTTACTTAGTTGTTGTTGTTGACTGTAGCGAATTTGCGGTGAGATCGGATTAATTTTCTGTTCGCTTGGATTGCGTTTTATTTAAAGTTTTAATAGTTTAAAATATATCTACTGATTATAAATTTTATCGGACTTGTGCATTCAATATATTACGAACTCGTACGAATGCAACAATATAAAGCAGGGTATCCGTACATAATCCCGACAAATCAGAATCCCAACAGGGTCGAAATCCCAACAAGCCAGAATCCTAACAGTGTCAAAATCCCGACACGGGCGAAATCCCAATAAGGCCTAGTGGCCACTTAACATACTTCCAAAGCTGCTTATGGAACGCAATCGTAATGACAAGGGATCGGGTGAGCTCACGTGAAGGTCATTTTTTATCTTTCAGGTATATCTTTCACATTTTTCTGAAGGTCTCATCTTTCATAAGAATGAAGTCTGCTATGAATAGGAGAAAGAGGGAACTATTTCACAATGACGGCTCTAGGATTTGAATAATAATATTGGTGGAACTTTATGGAAATCAGAGAAGCGGGGTTCAAAATTATTTTTCAGTGCATTTAGGTTTTCCGTGTATTTCTCTGTTTCGTTTTGCCTTATGGTTATTAGTGTGGCTTGATAAATTCTAAAAACGGCTGATTTTTTTTCTTTCACCTTATTTATCCACAAATTTAACTACCACAATTTATCCACAAATTTAATCTGAAAAGAAGTTACAGTCCCAGTCAATTGTAAAAGGTTTTTTTCTTTTCCCTGGAGATCTTCGTTCAGTTTGTTCAGTTTAACTGTTATATCCGTGAGAAAATACAGATCGGATAACCAATTATTATAGTCCAATTCTTTATAACTTTCGTTTCCGGATTCCAAAAACTGCTTTATTGGCGAAAGAAGTTCTACAAATCGTTGAAGCACTTTTCTTCTGCTGAGCCATTTAACATCGGAATGAAGCAATAAGATTTCATGTTCGCTATCAAGTTCATCAGTCAGCAATCAATTATTTTATAACGTCTTGCAAGATATATCTTATTACTATGAATTCTTTACCATATTTTAGCAATTAAGAAATATAAATGAAAGGTTTTTTTTAATATTTTTTTGTGCTTAGTACCTGATCGGACTGGAGAGCATATACAAAACGATCGGCGAGCACAAGGTTGGGTACCGCTGGCCTATAGTGTTACGTTCGCCTCGAGATAGACAGTGCTCACTTGCCGGTTTATTTTTGCTCATTAAATTGTTCCAAAAAATGGCTGAAATTTGTGAAATTGCTCCGTCTCAAAAAGAAAGCAATAAAATTAATGCACATGCTTATTTAATATTGAAAGATAAGAATCCCGCCGATTTGTATTATTGGTGCTGTGAAAAAAGAAAATATGATATGTGCAAAGGTCAAGTAACAACAATATTTTTGAATGGATAACATCATCTCCGGAAATTTATCGCGTTTTTAACAGCATAGAAGGATTTCAAAAAGAACAGGAGCATGTGGAATTCAAAGTTGAAGGCATTCTTCGCGAAAAACAACCGAAACGTAAGAAGATAGATGATGACAGAGAGAGGAGAATTATGACTTTTGTGGACGATCCTGAGAATCGACCTGTGATGGAATATCTTCGTGGTATCGCTCACAATGTGTCACTGTAAATATGTCGTTTGCATGTATATAGAACGTGTGGATTTTTTTCCTCTTTTTTTCAATAAAACTAGAAAGCCCAGCGGTCATACGAAATGACCGCTGTTCTAGATATTATAAATTTTCAATTAAAATGACTTGTGCAAAGGTGTCTACTAATTCAAACTTAATTACCTAGAGCAGGCGGCCAGGACTCCCTTTTGCTTACTGCCCCACGGGGTTTCCCTCTTCTACTTGCTTAATTGCCTAAAGTAGAGTGCAATGAAGGAAACCACTGGCGGTACATTGCTTAAGAGCCACCGCTAGCTGAATAAATAAAGGTGATTTAAATAATAAAATGTTAATTCACATGTCAAAGATCTCTTTGTACACAACATTTCTTGTGTAAATATTTCCATCATTTTTAAGCTCGCCCTGGCAGAGGACCATCAATTATTTTTTTTTAATTTTACGTCCGTTCTTTCACGAACTCTTGAACAGGCAACATAAAGTTGACCGAGTCCAAATGCAGGCTCAGGTAAAAAAAATACCAACACGCTTAAACGTTTGGCCCTGAGACTTATTGATAGTCATAGCAAAGGCAAGTTTTACAGAAAATTGTCTACGTCTCAATTGAAACGGCAACCCTATGCCGTGGCAACTTCACCCCATTGGCTAGTACAGTTACGCAAGCAACCAATAAACTATCGGCAACAAACAGGCACTTAAGCCGCATTTTTATATATATATGGGGTGAAGTAACATCATCGCCTTTGGAACGGCTGGCTCCCGGGCTTAGCGAAGCACACTGTTGGATTCCGCAGGTCCGTGGCACGCCATTCTGACCATTCGCGTCTTGGTGAGACTTTAATTAGCCGAGATATTAATTAAAAACTAATTTACCCCTATATTTTCCACTTACTTTTTTGGGCTTTTCTTATTAGAGGGATTTGGCTACGTGTCAAATTCTTTGTTTTTTCGAATATTTACGGAACGGCGCCGAGTTGAAATTCGAGACGCGTATCCTCGGATTCCATAAAATTCTCCAAATCCATCGATACCGTTCTCATTTTCGTACGACTTTAATCGGCCGAGATAGTAATTAAAACCTGCGGAAACGTTAATTTCCGCACTCATTTTTCCGAGTAGCACCAACTATCGGCGACAAACACTTAAGCCGCTTATATATATAAAGAAGAATTTCGTAAATCTTCATTTCAAATTTTAGCTATCATTTCAATTTGTTAAAATTTATTTTAAGTAATGAAATAATTTTTATGATTTTGTGATTAAAACTATTAATTAATAATATCTAATATATAGTTAAAATTGTATTTTATTAAGCTAAATTGTGTATTTGTATTTAGATATTAACTTGTCAAGATGTCGGCCCTGTCAGGATTCTGGCTTGATGGGATTTAAACCCAGTCGGGATTTCGGCGGTCGGGATTGCGACCCAGACCCATAAAGCAGAATGTTTTAATAGATGTTGGGCCCATTCTTTTCAGTACTGATTTAAAGTTTTATTTAAGTGATGCTTTTTTGTATATTCAAATTCAGAAACATAATGGCCAGGACGTCCTATTTTACCACAATTACAAATGTCAGTATGTTTGAGTTTGAATTTGTTTAAATATGTTAGAAATGAACCATTTATTAGTCCATCTTGATTGCCATTGCAATAATAGATCTTTGAATATAATATGTTTATAATGTGATTTTGGATAGGGTATTGTAAATTTGCTTAATTTTAAGTATTAATCATAACCCCCGTTAAATTCTCATTTTGTAGCTGTGCTTTGTTTAACATGTAATGATGAGTACTGGATGCTGTTAATTAATGATTACATGTGTGTTTAAAATTTTTTTATCATTATATTTGCGACTGCATATTATTATTAGAGAGAAATTATTAAATGCTCTTAGTTATAATACTGGAACTTTCTTTGTAATAACAATACCTGTTTTATTTTTGTAGCCCTGGAAATTCCGTGAGGCTGAATACCTTTGTGAAAAGTGTAAAATAGGACAAAAAAGTCAGTGTAGAAATGGAACTAATGCTGAGTCTACAGAGCAACATTGGCAGTTAATGCCACCTTCTTCGTTCCTAGAGCCTTCTATTCAACATCAAAAGTAAATATTGGAAACGAAATCTTGTTATGGTATTCTGTCACTAGTAGTAACAATTTTCTATATGTTAAATAAAACATATTAGCTCCACGGAGTTCAAATAAGTTTCATTTAACCAGCTTAGAAATAGTTTTGAAGTAGCTGGTATGACTTATTTCGAACCGGCAGTAAATTTATTCTAAACTTCCTCTGTCAGTAATTTATCAAATAAAAGATCACCAGTACCAAACGTAACAATGCATTTACTTAAGTTACAAGGGAACTTAAAATCTCGCTTTCAATGCAGCTTTCAGTAATATACATACTTCCTTGTATATTTTGCCTTGAACAGAAATAGCAATCAATAAGGATACCATCTGCGTTTTTAAAAATAATAAGGCTATCAAATTTTGAGGATTTTTCTGATATTTATCTTTCTCATATTTATTTCTGATATTTTTTTATTAATAATTAGTTCAGTTTTTTTTCTTAATTTTTATAATGATAAGTGTATATTCAAACATGTGTATCCTTCGAACTGTAGATATAAGTCTTCTTATAAGCCACCGAACATGGAATATTCTTTTCGTGGCACTGATTTTCAAAAAAGTTCCTTTGACTTCGAATAACCAGTTAAAAAGTAACGAGTCTCTTTAATTTATCTTAAGAAACTCTGATGTGTACACCACATGACTTCCTCGCACGGAGTATTAAATTATACGCATTATTTCATGCATTTCATTTAAACTTATTGGACTGAATTAAATCTACTTCCTGGACAGCGCATAAACCACAATAGAATAAATGCACTCTTTTAAAATTCACTATATTTGTGTATCATAGCGACACTCTGGCGCTAGGTTCACTTAACAGAGTTACATCTCATTCATTTTATAACTCAGAATGCGCAAAATTTATATCATCTGAAGAATTATCTCATCGTTGCCACATGTTCTATTCAAATACCATAATAAATCTAAAACGTTGTATAAAAGAAATTAAACAAGCAAAAAAAGAAAAAGAGTTTTTTACAGACGATTCAGTATTTCTTATTCAATTAATTCAGTTCTCGCTTCCCGACAAGGCAAAAATACATATAAAACCAAAATATCTATATTAAAGGTTACGAAGTAAATCTTAAACACTTACTTCCTCGAATAAATTCCAGAATGGATTAAGCATGATTTAATTCGCAATAATAAAAGTAAGCGTTATCTTTGTTATAGCGAAGCTTACTTTCTCTAGATTGGCAACAAATCTACTATTCTGCTGTTTCAAATGTAAACAAGCAATGGCCGCCATGGCAAAAATATAATTAGGCTTAGCGGCACTTAAACAACTTTTAAATTGTTGATAATTCTACTAATAATGCATGCAGATTTACTAAAGATATAAAAAGCTTAACCGGAAGATAAGAACAACATAATTCAATCATTTCTAAAGCAAAAAATTCACAATTTACAAACATATAAGAATAAAGAAACTGAGATCACTGAGCCGAGTAACAGATTGGATATATATATATACGTGTATTTATATATTTTTGTTTCCGGCCAATTGCAACCAAAATAGGAGGTGCCCATTTACCTGTTATAGTAGTCCTGTATACAAAATTTCAATGTTCTGAGGCTACTTGTTTTTGAGTAATGCGAGATAGATACATACATAAGTACGTAAGCACAGACGCAACGAAAAACTCTTTTCAGAATTAATTTTAAATCAGTTTTTTATAACTTTTTGGGGGGAAAAGAACATTTTATTCTGTACTTCCTTACAGATCTCACGCAAAAACATCATTAAATTGCATGCGATAGCGGTCAAAATAGATATTTTCATTGAAATATGATACCTTAAATTTTTCGGAATTACGATACTTCCTTTTTACTTCGTACAAGGAAGTAAAAATGCGAAAATGCATGGTTATATGGTAATCGACAATGAATAACAATGTTAATTTTTTTTTTTAACTTTTTCACAAAGCAGTGAAAAGGAATTGATATCCATAGGAGGAAAGTAGGCAGCCACAAAATCTTAACTCTACGTAATACATAAAACATATAATTAAGGTTTAATAATTTTTCTTTGGTGTGAATTGAATTATTTAATATTCGTTTCAGTTTAAATAGTATTAGCAGTTTAAATGTCCTATTTTCTGATTTTTGGCTTATGTTTAAAATCTTTAGCATAAAAATATTTTGGAATAGCGAAGCAAATTATTTCTGGTTAACATGCCCCATCAATGCCAAGTGGTTAAAACGATGAATTCCGTGAGTCCAACCTCGTTATATCCCGGACGAACGAGGTGGCTACATGGTTGTTTCTGTGTTTTTCCCCATGTGTAAAGTAAATAGAAAAAAGTTTCCTTTCGAAATTCCTCCACGAAGGCATACCTATTCTTAAAAAGGAAACTCTCGTGTGCTTTGCGATATTTAAAATGAAACTACATTTAATTAACGTTAATTGGTTAACAGAGAAATAATCATTTCTCTGCACCAAGATTTGTGGCTTCAGGTATAGAAGGAATATTTTAGAATGAGAAATTATTGTAAATAGAAGATAAAGGCAGAGAATCATGCAAGTAATTTACGACCGTGGATAGCGCCTGACATGAAACTTATCATTGCCTTCTAAGTTTAAAATTTATCGAACCGAGGATTTATAAGGCAGTCAAATTATGGAGTCTTAAATTTCATATTACAAAAGATTCTAATAAAATCTTAAAATTTTATTATTTTAAATTTTTGAAAACGCATGACTAAGAAGTTTTATAATTATAAATTTATTCATTTCATAAAAAAAAACAGTTTAATCAGAATTAGGGCTATGAAAAGCAGAAATTGCTTTAATGACTAGGAGAATAACTTACTTTTGCATCAATCAATTTTAGTGAAATGGTTTTAAAAAAATTTCAGTTTTAATTTTAGTCAGGGGAACGTAAAGTTTTAAAGGACTGTAATACATTTTAAGTAACACTTAACTGCTATTAAATGCTTAAGAATGAATATAACATTACATTTATTTGTAAATCTTAAATAATACGGTTCTATTTAAAATTTTAATAGATGCAAAATTTTTATATTTAATATTATTAATTAATTGTAATAATTCTGCATGTCAAAGTGTATAAATTTTAAATTAGTTTCATGCTGCAATGTTTCGAGCTACGGAGGTAATTATATTTCTTTAATTAATGATTCCAGATAAGCAGGATGAAATAAACAATTTATTAGAAAACCAGGCACAATAAATAATACACACAGCTCAATAATGGCTGTAAATAACTCAAGGAAAATTAGATATTTAGCAATTCCGCTTTAGCACAAATAAACTGTAAAGTTTCTGAAATCACTCTCATGGTAAACCCTAACTGGTAATTCATCAAACCCCTAAGTCTCACACCTGATTTGTAACGATTCACAACTGAACTCCCTAGCCTTTATTTATACGCTGCAGCATGGGCTTTAGAAACTTCTGGAAGAATCGGATAGTGTTAATGTGTTTTTGCCAATTTTCCAGAAAGTCAAAAAACTGGAGCAAAATATCATGTTGGTAATAAAAATTAACGTTAAAGCTCTTTTTGAACGAAAATCATATGTTACTGTGAAAGACCAAGATTTGGAGAATGTCGACATTCACCGGTGAATATCAACATTCACATATTTGCTTAGTGCATGCCCAAAATATGTGCCAAATATCCTTATTTCTGACTTACACCGGCAAATGTCGACATTCACCATGCACTAATGATAAATGTTGAATGCGTCGGAGATTTGCATTTTGTTCTCCGTATTTCAGGCGCCATAAAGCTTCAAGGGTGACGTAACGTTTTCGCCTGTCTTGCTGAGAGGAGTAAACAATCCCTGGTAAGAAGAGTTATTCGTAACTCTATAGAATCGTTTCACTGCGGATGATATGTAGCTTTTGAATTCTAATGCGAGAAGGGCTACTCGATATTACTTCTTAATAATGATAGTAGTCGGTGCTTGGGTAAATGTTAAGCATTTAGTTTTAAATTTAGTCAATAAAGAACTTTTCTAATTTTGCATTTATACCGTATATGTCAAAATATGAAAACGCTTAAGTAACAGCACATGTAAATAAACTTTTGAACTTAAGCAATACATTCTAAATGAGAAAACAAATAATAATAATAACTTAATTATGTGATTGAAATCTTATTTATTGCAACAACATAAACTTTTATGACATTTTGAATTGCACAAGAGTCCCTTGCTTTTACAACTGCATTTAGTTGTGGAACACTTCCTTTTGCAGTGACAGCGTGTATAGCCTTGCCGTCTACTTCTCGAATTAGCTGCAGCTGCTTCTCTCAGCGACATTACTTGAGAATGAATCTCATCTACAGATAAGAAACTTTTCTTTACAAATAACGAACTGATTACGGGTATAAAGCTGCTTGAGAGTGTCATTTTTATTTGCTAGTTTATAAAAGCCGGAATCTTATTCCAACAACAACTGCCAACACATTTCGGCCATCTGTACGACCACCGTCGACATCAGAAACTTGTATTCGTGCGGTATCACCAATTTGTGCGGGAGGAAAAAAATTTTGAGGTTCGTAACATTTTCGTTGCTTGCAGTAAAAGATCCTCTTTCGCGGCTGATCTTTTTATAGAAATTAATTCGTGTTGTTCAGTCCAGGCTTGATACTTGAAGACGTGGTAGGTTTCAGGTCCTGCTCAATATTTTTCTTTGGGATATGGTTTTCGGTATGGCCACTGTTCAGATTTTCTTCAAATTTATTAACAGGTTTGTAAGGATCTTAAGTTTTACTAACGTTTATTTTATTTTAAATCTTTACTATCCTTCTCATTTTCTACTTCCGGCCAGAATTATAAGCGTGAAGGATTTTATGCAAAGTTGTCTGGCGAACGCCAAGTATTTAAGTGTGGCCTTTTTGCCAAGCAGGAGAGAGGAAGCAGTGAGTTCGAAGCAGGCCGCTTTTTTAGAAGTTACGCAGTTGCTATTTGCCTTCCAGGCCAGAGGTTTTAATCCTCTTGATAAATTAAACGTATTGTAGTGTTCACAGTCTCTGTGCTACATACGCTTCCTGTTATTATAAGGCCAATCTTACACGTGTATTATTCTAAAGTTAAATTTGAGTTTAGTTTTATTTTAATATCTTTTACGTTAGACCCCGAGTGGAGGGTCATTGTATTCCGAAGTACGGAAGTCATTGTATATAAAGAAAAATAAAGGGTTTTGTATACCCTTCGTCTGTATCCTGTCTACTTACTACAATTAGTGAACATAGCTTTAGTAAGCTCTCTGTTCTAGTCAGGTCATTGTATGTTTCCGAAGAAGGTTAGAAGAATCATTGAACCTGATAGGTTATTCAAGCTGTTCTTCGGTTTCAAAAATATTAGCAATTTTTTAAGAGTTGTTCTTCGGTTTCAATATTTGCGATTTGTTCGCCAGGCAAAAACGACGATGCCTCTTCTTCGTTTAATGTCAAACATAGCTTCATAAGGAGTAATCAATCCCGATGAGAAGAGACGTGTTTGAAAAATATAAACAATTGTCTTCTCGTTTACTCGCAATTAATGAATTTAACTTTTCAAGGAAAAGTTCACGATTCAATGCAGTATCTATTCAACATAAATTAGGGTATTGGATTAAAAAAATTAAGAAAACGTTGCACGTACCATCAAATCTAGCACAAGACTGATAAACGGTGTTCCAGAGTATAACAAATACATGCTACATAACTTCAATCGCAGCAGAGCAAAGGATTTGGCTACAGACAATGGCCCCTCTGTTGAACTCGACTTCTCTTTTCGACCTCCACCACACCATATCTGTGATTGTCGACATACACCGGTGATGGTCCGAATGTACAAGAATATAACTAAATATTCGGTTTTTTACCGACGTATTTGGCATGTGTTGACATTCATGGGTAAATATCGACATTCTCCAATTTCGGTCTTTGACAGTAACATATATACTATATCTATCAAGTTATAACTGAGCTATCTTTACAATTACCCAGCCGTTGCGCTCAGAATTAAAAGATCTACAATTTTGAGCAATAACTAAGAGTTAAATACAAGACATGTTGCCACAAATTAGATTAAATGCAAAATAAAACATAAAATTACCATTCTAAAAACAATAAATCTCTACATATAATAAAAAAGTCTGTCTGTGTGTCTTTCATTCGTGCTGCGCGTAAGCTAATAGACCCTAGGCTATAAAATTTGGTAAATAGGCGCATCTAGGCAAGAGCCAGAGCATCTGGAACCGTTTCTTTTTTCAAACTTCGAATCAGATTTTTTAAATATCTTTTTTGATGAAATCCCATCATTTTAATATTAAATTTAAAATTTCATTTTGAATAATTTCGTTCTTTTAGAAATGTGATTTTGGCAACAGTTTTCCATTCAATGCTTTGTATACTGGACTGCTGACTGTTGAAAGTATGAGATAAAATATTATTAATTATATACGCAACATGCACATCGCAATTTTCGTATTCTGACGCGCATGTGTCTCGCGAGACACAACAGAAAGAATTTTCTTTTCTTTAATATCTCTCTCTTTATTAGCTAATGGCAAAGAGGTTTGTATATTTTGAATTATGTCATTCACAAAGCACAATTTTGGTTGGTTATTGCTTTCTGATGATAGTTTCATTCTTTTAGACATGTGGTAACAGTTTTTCATTCATTGCTTTGGATATTGGACTGCTGACGGTTTTCTATTGAAAATATGAGATTTATTCCTTATTTCATTGTAATCTTTTGTATTATGTTTTAATTGTATGCAATTTTAATTATACAAAAAGTTTTGCATGATTGTTTTAGGAAACAAAGTTCTTAAACTCATTTATACTATTTTAATTCTTAAGATCTTGCAAAGGTTAATTTATTTATTACGATAATTAATATTTGTGTTAAGGGTGCTTATTTCATTGCATTTTTTTTTTTTTTTTTTTTTTTTTTTTTTTTTTTTTTTGTATATAATACATCTTTTATTGAAATTTCTGTTTTTTCTTATTTTTTGTTGTTGTTTGTGTTCTTGATAAAGTTGTTCTGCAGAGTAAAATTCTGTGCAGTTTTTAAATTTAATATTTGGTGTTCCCGTTAGGTATTTTTTCGGTACATTTAAAATCCAGACGAAGGCTGGCTGCGTAGCGAGTTGTAAATATATAAAACAGTTCAAAATATTACAACAATACGGAAAATAAAAATATACAATAAAAAGTTTTAATGCATTTACAAATAACTGTATACAACTATGTCAAAATGTATATGGTTAAAGTGGTTAATATATGTAAACGTAATAAAATGATTTATATGTAAATGTCACAAAATTGCTAATATGCGTAGTTGTAACAAAACAGTTAACATATCGCGGAGATTAGTAAAAATAGTTAATACATGAAAAATTGTTATATTTAACGCAATAATACAACATTAAATATAATAATTTTTTGTTCGAAGGTACATAAAATTTAATTAGTATCATGCTTGATATCATACAAAATGTATTACATTTATTATATGTTTATACGTATCTCATTTCTTTCCAACAGAAGGCAGTCAGAGTTTGAATATGATAACAGGGATTTTTCAGATCTTAATTTGAAAGAGGACTCTTTTATCACTGACCCACTAAAAAATAAAAAGACAGATCTGAAAATTTCTTCGTATGTACAATCGCATTTTGGACGTACGGAGCACTTTTGTTCCCCAGCTTCATTGCCTCAAGTTGGACAAATACCTCCTAGTGTTGAGAATCACATTCAGCAATGTACTTCAGTTCCAGCGCATCAAAACGCATCAGATGAGGAGACTTTAACAAACGGAACTGTAAGTTCTTTTCTGTCCCTAATTACAGAGACAAACAGTTATTTAAAAAAGCTGGATGATTCAATCACCGAAGAGGACAGTGATAAACAATTTTTATTAAGTTTATTAGCGGATTTAAAGGCAATGACACCAAAAAAAAAACTGCAGACGAAAATAAAATTTTTGCAAATTTTAGCGGACCCGGAGTCATAAAAATTTCTTCTGTGTACAAAACTTTTATTCTTTTGACAAGCAATGTAAAATAAAAAAAACCTTTTTAATATCTGGATTTTAGTTTTTATTAAACAATAACTAGCTTTACTAATTTATCAATGATTTGCTTTATGGAGATCAGCGTTCTTTATTTAATCTTTATTTTCAGACAAATTACAACCATGCTTACAATTTTTAAAACAGTTTAAATAAGTTGTGTAATACGTTGTCTTTTTTTATTACCGCACACGCATATCTATCTTCCATATTAATATAATATGCATATTATATATTTAATTAAAATAGGGTTATATATTGGATCCACTAAAGGCTTTGTGCAGCCTTTTTATTTTTTCAACGCTGGTCTTAGACATATGCTTCCGTTTATAAAACATGTTTTGAATGACACAAATCTTCATGTTTTGGCATTTCAAGCATTTCAATTTGACTTATGAAATATATTATTTTATTTTATACTATTCCCGGTATTCAGATTTAGAAACCATTAATGCTTATTATGGAAAATAATACACAAAACGTTTGATTCCTGTTCAATAGAAATTGACTGAGAAAGAATTCAATTATAACATTTGGAATTTTTGACATTTCCAGAATTCAGCTAAAATTAATCAGAATATTTCGAAGCTAATTTGTTTCTCTTTAACGTCAATAAGTGAATTTTTTTTTTGAGTTACCATACTTAACCTTTTTTAATAAATAATTTGATTCATATTTGAATTTTCACATGAGTAGTTTCTGATTCTAAATACTAAAAATGCATTACAAAAATCCTCATGCAAATTTATTACTTTAGAATTGTAATCTATTAATCACGCAAAAATTTATTAAACACTAAAAATATTTTCTTTTCTTTTAATATATGGAAATAATGTTATGAGTTGGGTTATATTACGTGTTGACGCCTAAAAGTGAAGTTTTAGAAAGAAGGTTTGCAGAAAGAAAATTTAGCTGATCATTTGTTAGATTAGTGATTCGTCTTTTAGGAAATGTACATTTTTTTATTATTATTTTTTATTGTGAAAATGCTTTAACATATGGTGTAAGCGGAAAATTGCAGAAACAAAAAGATTAGGGTTTGCGAATAATAACAATAAACATTAATTCTTAATGCAGCATTTTCATAATTTGAATTATCATTAACTTTTTTGGAGATGTTACAATGCTAATCACTGTTTTTGTGTGACGCAAAAAACAAATTCTTTTTTCAATACCTTCCATTGAGACCTTCCATTTTTTTCTCTTATCAGATCGAAGATAGCGAACGAAATTTAGGTCCTTTGAAAATCGTTATAGGGAGACTATAATAGTATATGTGCAAACAAAGAAAAGCAATTAAACATATATAAATATAATTACCGCAGTTACGTTCCGCTTTATCATTCCATTTTAACATATTTAATTTCATAAAACTCAAATGATATGTTATTGAAATGAAGAATACATATGTTTCTAGCACTGTGAAAAAACAACGGTACTTAGAGCCATCTAAATTTGAATAACGTAGTCCTGCACCCGAATATGAGCCCCTAGAAACCGAATTTCAAATTCGTTTTATTGTTTATTTCATATTTTTTTAATCGTTAAAGAATTTTTCATTTGCAAACTCAAGGATTAAAAAGCAAGGAATGGCACCACTGCACGGAAAATAAAATTCTTATCTGCGGCGCGTGAGGCTGTCTTTCAGAAATTCTAAAGATATGCTACTTTTAAGTATTTTTAGTCCAAGGGCCCACAAGCCCAAAAGCTCTCGAAACGTATATGTGTGTGTAAATGAAAAAAAAGCCCCTCTGTACGTAATATAATATCTGAAAGCTTGCAGATATTATATTACGTACAAAGATTCAGATTTCAGATGTTTTTATTTTATGTTTCATTTATTTATATATATTTTTCGCAATATTTCCATTTTTATGTGAATGCTATACTCCGATTTATTTTGAAAGTAAGAATTGTAGAGTGTGATGTAGCCGTTCCTCAATAAACACTAATGCCGGCTAGCTTTAAAAGGATTTATTAACAGAACACACAAGAACGGTTACAAACAAAAGAAATATACATAAAAATGAAACTTTACCAAATGGAACATCAAACATTGAGAATAAACATAACATAGTAAGCTATCATCATGGCGGCTGGATGTCGACTGACGTTTTTTCATATCGCCACGAGATAGCGTTTAAATAAAATAGTTCGGTTACAGTTCATGAGTTCATGGCGTGAATAAAATAGTTCAATTACACTTAAATAGGTCTGTTACAAGAGACATTAGTACTTTTTGGAAGCAGAAAAGATGAAAAATATGCAACGCTTTCGACGGGAATCGAACCATGGACCTCGCAATTACTCGCTGAGCGTGCAGACTACCACACCACAAAAGCATGCGAAAAAGGTGGGAGAAATGCCTTATATTCTCCCCCTTTTAAAGGGCGACTAGGGTTTCCAGGGGACCCAATCGCCAAATCCTGGGTTAGAAGAATCATCATCCAACACCCTTTTAATTCGGGCGCCACTGTAGAGGCATTAGGTATTTTTGGAAGCAGGCAAGATGAAAAAGTAGCAACTCCTTCGCCGGGAATCGAACCCCGGTTCTTTCAATTACGCGCTGAGCGTGCAGACCACCACACCACGAAGGCATGCGAAGAAGGTGGGAGAAATACCTTATAGAATATCTAACAATTTTTTATGGTTTGAAAACAAGAAATTAAGTCTTCAAGATTTTTCCAATTTAATAAAATACGTTTTCAGTTATAGTATATAATGCATGCAAGTTGTCATATGTGCTAGCTTATCTCAGTAAAACCTTAATATTATTTTCTCCTTCGAAATCTATAAAGATGTTGTGCAAAACTCAATGCAAAACAAAGGTTGAGTTTTTCATTCATTTTAAATTAATTTCGAGGTATATAAATGTGTGACATTCTACATCTTATGCAAGTTGGTTCAGTCGGGAATGAAGATGGGACTCCTCATTTTATTTAAGTAGGTTCTAGCTAGAATCAGTTAATTTTTTAACAGTCACTTGAATGTAGAGATAATTATTTTGTCGTTCCTTTTTTGGTTTGCTATTTACTTTTAACTACAAGTTACGTACATATTTTTAAAAATAAAAAGTTTGCACACAAATCTTACAAACATATGTTTAAAATTTCTCACTGAATTCGAAAACCTTTATTTGATAGCGAACTATTGAAAACGCAGCGCCATCTAGAGACTAAATTCTAATCACATCTTATTACTTAATCTCCCATTTAATGAATCGGTTTCAATGAAACATTACGAAATCTTTCATTGTAATAAACTTTTGCAATCATTTGTTAAAGGACAAATTTTCAAAAATATAGTACCATAGCTGCACATTTATTTTTTTATGTTGGGTTTATGGTAATGACCTTCAATCGTAAATCCTCTTTTTCCCACATTCTGAATCATTCCATACTTAAATAGATTTAATGGATATGTCCATTTTCAATCATACGAAATCTTAATTGCAAAGTGTTTGTTTTGCGTAAATTATAGGATATCTAATAACTCTACTAACCTATTAAAATAATTGGATAGTCTTACCAAATAATATTGGTATAATTGGATAGGCTTAACAATGATTTCCCTTCGATAAATAGAATTATATCCAACAATTAGAATTATATCTAATTAGTTCATCAAACAATTGTTAAAAAGTCACAATTAAAACAACAACTTGTATAATTTAGAGATCTGTAAATCTATTGCTAAACTGGCAGATTAAAACTTTAAAATATTTTTAAATGTGTAAAAATCATCAACTGTAATATTTTTCATTTTTACCTTCACATTCAGATGTTCAAAATTTCTAAATATTTAAAATTCTAGCCAAATCCTCACAGTTATAAAATACAGTTAAATTTCAGATTTTGTTACTTTTATTAAAAATTGAAACTTTCTAACATCCTTTTAAAGGACAATTTATTTTTCATTGACTTCTCATGGCTCTTCTCTTCGATTCCTCTTCTTCGAGTTTGCACCAATTGTACCAAGCTTAACTATACTACTAGATTTTCTCTTGTGTGGCTTCACTGATTCCTAGTCTTCTGAAAACAAATTTTTGCTTATTCACCTCCTGTCTTTATTCTTTCCACTTACTAAGCAAGCGACTTCAACGTTGGGAAGAGCTTAAACTTGTATTAATCTTCCATTCTATTACAATGAAACCCCCATTTAACATTTAACAAAGCGCGGCGAAACCTAATGTACCTTCAGGAAAGCACTGATCCTGGCTTTGCTTCAACGAACACCTGTGGTCTCTGATGTACGTTTTAAATTTTGGAAGATATTCAGGAAGGACATATTCGCAATCTCCGAAAACCGTTTACAGAAAAGAAGAGAAAAAAAAAAAAAAAAAAAAAAAAAAAAAAAAAACCCAAATTATGCAATAACTGTTATTTTATTGAAATTACAACGATATTGTTTCAAGATTGTACACCCTGGCACTGAAAATAACAGACTTTGCGAAAGAGAAATTTAAATTAAAAATTTGATTTTCTACACGAATTTGCATTTGTACACGTATATACTGATTTTTCTTCAACGGGCCAGCAAAATTTAATTTGAAGTTTTTATTGACCGTTAAAGGAGTGGGTGACTCTGAAGATGCTTCTGATAACATATTCGAAAATGAATTTGCAAATCTTTCGCAAAATAATTACAAAAAAAAAAAAAAAAAAAAAGTTTCACTTGTATATGACAGGGTTACGAAGAAAAGGCGATAAAACGCAATAGAAAGAAAGAGAAATTTATCTTTGAATTATGCCTAAATAGATTTACCATGATGAAAATGCTGCGTAAGCGTATGAGTAATCGGACTTTAAAACTAAAGCAATCTTTTTTTTAAATCCGACTGTTGGTTATAAACAGTGTTCGCAGTAAAAAAAGTCTGAATACAATAAAAATGCATAAAACACAGCTAGCTTATAATTAAATACTGTACGATAATTATTAAAGTTTTAAGACGAAAATTTATTCAGAACATAGATTTGATTGATTAAAATCGAAACGAATTAAAGC